CTCTCTCTCTCTCTCTCTCTCTCTCTCTCTCTCTCTCTCTCTCTCTGATAAAGTCTACCGGTGAATGGGAGTCCTGCCTGCTATCGATCCCAAGCAGTTTGCCTGGCACACAATGTCCTCCACATGAGTCATTTATGAGCTGGCTTGTGTGACACACACCTCTATTATTCTCCTCCACAAGATGGTGACTCTCTCTCTCTCTCTCTCTCTCTCTCTCTCTCTCTCTCTCTCTGTGGTTTCCTCCCTCCTTCTCTCAGTCACCATGAAGCAGGTGGCCCGCACCGTGGCCAAAGTGGAGCTGTCGGACCACGTGTGTGACGTGGTGTTCGCTCTGTTCGACTGCGATGGTAAGTACCTGGCTGACTACATTCATGGAAGCAAATAAAGCCTCGACTGACTGGTGGAAATCATCAATAAATGGACGTCGTCTCCTCCCCTCGCTCTTCTTTATTTCATCATCTCTCCCCTGTCCATCACCCTTTCTCTCCCTCCTCCTCCTCTCTCTCCCTGTCTGTCTTCCTCAGGTAATGGAGAGCTTAGCAATCGGGAGTTCATAGCAATTATGAAGCAGCGGCTCATGCGTGGGCTGGAGAAACCCAAGGACATGGGCTTCACTCGGCTGGTGCGGGCCATGTGTAAGTGTGCCCAGGACACGGCCTGGGACTTCGCCGTACCAAAGACGCAGTAGAGACTGCGTGTGAGTCAAGCAGCATCAAACACCGTTTACCTTCAACAGGTCTCAACCATTCAGACGGACCGTTAATGCAATGGACTCATTCGGACCGCAGCTGTGAGGGGCATCTTCAACCATCAACGCATGTTGCTGTAGTTCAAACTATCAATATAGTGAGTGGAGCATGCTGACACAGCGCATTCTGTCCCTGAAAGGCTTCTCTAGCATGCCTCTCCAAGGCATCGTGGGTATTTGTATATAATAAAATGATTATTATTATTTCTGCCGTATTCTATTCTTTTATATCTGCGTTTAACACGTTTTACCGCAAAAGGCCGGAAGAGGAATCCATGTTATTTGACCTTCGGCTGTATACATGCTGCAGTAAGTCTGTTCTGTACGGACAACAGACCCTTTATTTTGTTATTTCTTTGGTGGGACAGAGAGCAGACATCTGTAATCTTGTTGGCGCCTCTTCATCCAGTCTTCTCGCTCCAACAGTCTTCATTTTGTCCCATAAAAGATCAATGATGCTCGTCTTGCTTTACAATGTACTGTTCAAAGTGTGTATTCTTCTAATTATTGCCCACTGAAACACTTTATATAAGACGGATGTCAAAAGAAATGCTCTATTAAAGATGTTTTTAATAACGTAAAACCGATTACGCTTTATTCATGAGCGACTGTGTTCCGCTCGACTCGTAAGTTGTTGTCCTGCCATGTGCTCGTTTTCACTCTTTGACTCTGAGGGGAAAGAACAGTGGGGGGATTAGTGAGACTAATCTATGGCGCACCGAGGAAGCCATTTGTTATGTGAAAATGAAATTGGGTGGAACATTTCGGCGCAAAACTGCTCAGCTGATTGTATGACGTGCCTTTGAATGTGTGCCAGGGGAAGATGCTAATGTGTGTGTGTGTGCAAGAGTGGTCAGCAGTTTTGTCTAATTGAAATGGGCAGTCCTCGGCCTCTGCTGCCCATTAAAGATTGTCCTGCAGCCCCTTTGGTACACACTGTGCTGCATCGGCCTGAAACGAGCTGGCTTGCTCTCTTGCACACACTGCGACTGACAGACGGACGTGGTACTCTGCAGCGATTGCTGGGCTGGAGATTAGGTTGAAGGGCCTCTCATCGGTATTCCTCACCCGTGTTCTTGACAGAGCTTAAGTCTGGCGTTGCAATCAAACGGATCGTAAAATTATTTTTTCTGAAAAATTTAAACTCTCCAAAATAGGAGATACATGGTGTTCTTTGGACAGCGACTCAATACTCAATTCATTTATCTGCTGTACAGCCTTGCCCACCAGCACTTCCTTCATCATACCTGGTGCTGCTGATAACAGTGATGTTCATGGGAGATTAATCTACATATACTTTGTTTGTTTTATGAACCACTTTAGTCTGTTTTGGAAATTGTGAAAAATGCAGTCAACTTGTTGTATTCAACCAACAGTCAAAAAAACAACCAAAATCTATTTATCATGATATGAAACAGAAAATCATCTAAAGCCAGTGGTAGTGTTTGATAAATGACTAACAACTAATTGACTCTAAAAAGAAATGTTAAATTCGTTTTCTCTCAGTTAATTAATCAACTCATTTATTTCAGCGCTAACGGCAGCAAAGCAACACTCTGCTTTACTTCTGCTTTAAACTCCTAAAGGTCCAGCAACTGGTAGTTGCTCGTGGATTCCAACATGCTGCCAGCAAAAATCGCCCAACAGCATCGAGTCTCTCTGCATCGGTTCCATCTGGACTGCGAAATTGCCCAGTAACGGCTCCACAGTGGCTGGAAGGCAGCCCCCCCCCCCCGTGGATTCATAAACCGTATGGACAATGCACATGCTGTTTGTCAAGTGTGCTTAGGAATTAAGCTTTTTCTTCTCACTGAATGCAGCGAGTGTATACGCTCCATTAGGCCATATGTCATGTATTGGAAGTTAATGCAAAAATAAATGATATTAGTATTATTGCAGAAATGTGAGCGAGATTAGGTACAGTCACACCAGGGCTTAATTAAAAGTGATGGCAGTATCGAAGCTGTGAAAAGAAGTTGGTTGGTGAAGTTTTATCTCTAAAGTCAGATTATTATACTGTTGCTGGTTTTTACATGAAGATAATTTGGCCAAAAAACTCAAAAGATAAGCCTGAACATTGGAGGAATTAATGTTAGTGAATATTTTTCCAGTGAATGTTGGAAGAAAAGTAGCCTACATGAGGGCGGAGAGCTTTTCATATTTCATAAAATACAACTGTATAAAAGACCTAATTGAGTTACTTGAAAGGAGCATTGAAAGGAATACAAGGTCATCAATTCTTTATATCTGGTTTACAAAGCGGTGACAGGCGGAGCTATTTTATGTCTGATGCTCTAATTGCTTGGTAAAACAATAAGACATCTTGCATTTCTCCACACTGAACACTATGGCAGATAAACTGAACAGACAATTCAGACCCAAGAGCATGTCGGGGCTAATGGCCTTTGTTTGGGTTAAACGGGTAAGTCAAAGGGGCACTACCCTGGTGATGTCATCAGGGTTACCTCCCCTTGGGCTTGGTTAATGGGAAGTGTGAGGTCCAGCCTCTGGGGAGCATGACCCATATTAGCAGCCACTCTCAAAACTGTCCCATGGCAAGTAATGAGAAGTGACACCGCAGTGCAAAGAGCTACATGACTGCCATCTAGTGGCTTTGATGAAAGTGTAAGGATCCCCTCCAGAGGAAGAACCGGCTACTACAGACAGACTGATTCCCTAATACTCTTTAATGAAGAAAAAAAAAAAACAGATACATGATGGATTTGATATCTTTTGTAGACTATCATTCCATAACAGAGTTTATGATTGTATGCATGTTTGTAACTATAGGACATTTGGAGATGCATACTGAAAACATTGAAGTCTTCCCCATTTCGATGTTTGTAAAACAGCAAAAAAGTCTTCCAACCACACCATTTAATCTTTTCCGTTTTAATTACAGCTACAACAATTAATAAAATATAACAGTTCATACAGGACATTCAAATAACTGAAACACAAGACTCTCGACTATGTTGGTGAAGAATAAATTTGATACCACTGATGAACAGATTGGGGAGGGCTTGAAAGAGGTATCTTATCAAAAGAAACAATAGTTTCAAAGCAAAATGGCTTGAGGAAAAGACCACCCGAGGTCCTAAACATTGAAATGGAATAAACCGTAATAAATACACAGTATAAAACTCAGTTCTACTCCTTTAAATGTTGGTGTAATGTAAAGAGGAAACAAAACGGAGCACAGAACCCTCTCCACTCACATGTGGCCAAATAAAAAATTGACAAACCAAACAAACCTGAAGAACATGTTATCCATTTAAAATAGCCTTTTGTTACCGCATAATAAAGAACCAGGTGGGATGCATGGCTGTCATTCATACGTAGATAAATGTGAAAGAAACGAGAAGACATTCAGCATTTGAGAATAAAGTACAGGTTAACAAAGTCAAAAGAGGCACAAAAAAAAAAAAAAAAAAAAAAAAGGGCCCAACGCACATTGGCATTGTTGCCATTAACAGGTGGCCTGCAGCCACCTAGTGGCTATAAGTAGTAGTGTCACATGGACATCAACCTTTACCAGTACAGTCTGAAATCACTGATCACTCTCTTGCTTCAGATCAGAGACAAAACCAATGGGGGGGGAGGGAGGAAGCAGACAACGGATAGTCCTGATCACAGGTACAGTAGAGTCCAGGTCCAGACTGAGACGGTCCTTAGTCACTGTCAAACTTAATGGAGTTGATTGTGGTGGAGATGGCTCCGCCGCGGTAGCTCCCCCTCTTCTTCTTCGTCTTTTCATGGCGGAATGACTTGCCTTTTGTGAACCTGAGCGCATCGTTGGCTTTCTGGCCCCAGTCCCCGTTGGCTCCGTACTGGAATAGCAAGAGACAAATGAACATGTTTGAGAGTCAATTATCAGATGACATCAGCAATCCTGGTGTGTAGTGCGGTTGTAAGAATGCTCACAGCGGTTACTGAGCTCACCTTTGCATCAAAAGAGTTGTCCTGCAGACGGGGATCCACCGCTACTTCTTCTTCTCTTATTCTACGGAATGGTACGTTGGAGGTCTGAAAGACAAGTCAATTCTGTCAAATTATGGCTCCTCCCCTTCAGAAAACTCAGGCTAAGACTAAGTTCAAGCGTAGCAGGCTTTACCTTCTTATTGGCTTTAGGAAACGTTTGTGGGGTAGTTGTTATTTTCTTGTTTTTCGGCGTCTTAACTTCCGTCTCTTCCTCTTCCCCTTCTGAGGATTCTTCATCTCTTTTTCTCTTTCCATTGGTACCTGCATACATCAGAGGAAAAAGGTTACTTGTGCTGCTCATTGAGTGGAGAACAATCGTGAATCAGTCAACAATAGAAGTGTTCTATAAAGCTAAGCTGCATGAAATTGTGCAACATTCAAAAGACCAGGAAAACATTTCTTGTAATGGCTATTTGAGGGATCCAGTGTGCTGGTAACCTTTTGATTTCCCTGTTAAGTGGCCACATCATGTTCTGTATTTGTTTGGGACTCACATTTTGCTGCAGGGGTGTTAGGTGCTGTGGCTGCTTTTTTTGGTGCTTCCTCCTCTGATGAACTGTTGCTCTCCTGAGGTTTAGAAGCTGGGGTCGTCTTGGGTGTGGCGGCAGGTGTAGCGGGTTTTACGGTACTTTTGCTGGCCTCTTCTTCCTCGTCAGAGCTGCCGTCACTGGATGACGACTCTGCTGGCTTTTTTGGGGTCCTTGGTGTTGTTGCCTTGGGTGTTGCCGTCTTTCCGTTGGCGACCGCAGGCTTAGCAGGGGTGGACTTGGTCTCCGTCTCAGAGTCCGAGCTGTCCGAGCTGCTATCCTCAGCCTTCTTGGTTGCAGCTGCAGCTGCCTTTGTGGCTTTGGGCGTGCCAGCAGGGGCCACTGCTGCTGCTGGTTTCTTGACTGCAGGTTTGGCTGCCTCATTCTCAGATTCTGAGCTGTCAGAGTCAGAGCTGCCCTCTGCTGCTGCAGCAGGCTTTGCAGCAGGCTTTGTGACCGGGGTAGCAGATTTAGCTGCTGGCTTGGCTTTCACTGGTTCTTCCTCGTCAGAGGAGTCAGAGTCTGAGCTGCTTTCTGCTGCAGCAGGCTTTGCCGCAGGAGTAGCGGGCTTTGATGCCGATGTAGCTGGTTTAGCTGCTGCAGGCTTAGCTTTGACTGCTGCTTCATCTTCAGAAGAGGAGTCAGAGCTGCTCTCTGCTGCAGCAGGCTTTGCCGCAGGAGTAGCAGGCTTTGATGCAGGTGTAGCTGGTTTAGCTGCTACAGGCTTAGCTTTGACTGCTGCTTCATCTTCAGAAGAGGAGTCAGAGTCTGAGCTGCTTTCTGCTGCAAGCTTTGCTGCAGGAGTAGCAGGCTTTGATGCCGGTGTAGCAGGTTTAGCTGCAGGTTTAGCTTTGACTGCTGCTTCATCTTCAGAAGAGGAGTCAGAGTCTGAGCTGCTTTCTGCTGCAGCAGGCTTTGCCGCAGGAGCAGCAGGCTTTGATGTAGGCTTAGCAGGCTTTGATGTAGGCTTAGCAGGCTTTGATGTAGGCTTAGCTACAGCAGGTTTAGCCTTGACTGCTGGTTCTTCCTCGTCCTCAGAAGAGTCAGAGTCCGAGCTGCTTTCTGCTGCTGCAGCAGCAGCCTTTGCCGCAGGAGTAGCAGGCTTTGATGTAGGCTTAGATGTAGGCTTAGCTACAGCAGGTTTAGCCTTGACTGCTAGTTCTTCCTCGTCCTCAGAAGAGTCAGAGTCCGAGCTGCTTTCTGCTGCTGCAGCAGCAGCCTTTGCCGCAGGAGTAGCAGGCTTTGATGTAGGAGTAGCAGGCTTTGATGTAGGCTTAGCTACAGCAGGTTTAGCCTTGACTGCTGGTTCTTCCTCGTCCTCAGAAGAGTCAGAGTCTGAGCTGCTTTCTGCTGCTGCAGCAGCCTTTGCCGCAGGAGTAGCAGGCTTTGATGTAGGAGGAGCAGGCTTTGATGTAGGCTTAGCTACAGCAGGTTTAGCCTTGACTGTTGGTTCTTCCTCGTCCTCAGAAGAGTCAGAGTCTGAGCTGCTTTCTGCTGCAGCAGGCTTTGCTGCAGGAGTAGCAGGCTTTGCAGCCTTTGATGTCGGTGTAGCTGGTTTAGCTACAGCAGGTTTAGCCTTGACTGCTGGTTCTTCATCTTCAGAAGAGGAGTCAGAGTCTGAGCTGCTTTCTGCTGCAGCAGGCTTTGCTGCAGGAGTAGCAGGCTTTGATGCCGGGGTAGATGGTTTAGATGCTGGCTTAGCTACAGGCTTGGCTTTCACAGGAGCCTCATCTTCAGAACTGCCATCTGAATAGACAATATAAATTTTTTTATTTTGTAAATAGACAGTAATGTACACTAAGTTGCCAGTTTATTGGGTACACCCAGCTAAATCTAATACTGTGTTAAACAGCCCTGCAACAAATCCTACCACCATGTTCAGCCAAACAGTTACAACAAAACATTTGATCCTTCATGATGGTAGAATTTATTACTGGACTGTTGTAGTTAGTATTAGCTAGCTGAAGCTACTAAACTGGCAAAAACTAAACTGGTATGTAACAATGCAGGGGAAATAATGGAAATCATTTCATAACAGACAGTTCTCATGATGAACTTTCATGAATACTAGCCTTGATCCCTCCACAAATTGGTTAAACAAAGCGAAGAGTTTCACATAAATTTAAGGTATTACAAGTAATATAATCACTTTTACAGAAATGCCGAGCTCACATGCTCAAAAGTCTGTTACCTGAGCTCGAGGACTCGTCTTTTTTAGCTGGGGTAGTCTTGGCCGGGGCAGGCTTAGCTGCAGGCTTAGCTGCAGGCTTAGCTGCAGGCTTTTTTGCCATCGTCTCCTCCTCTGAACTGGAATCGTCTTCTGAGGAGGATTCTTTAGCCGGTGTGACTTTAGCTGCAACAGGTTTAGCTGGAGCAGCTTTAGCAGGAGTCACCTTCGCCGCAGGCTTCTTCACCTCCTCTTCGTCCTCTGAACTTGAGGAGTCTTCCTCTTCAGCAGGTGCAGCCTTGGCTGCGGCAGGCTTCGCTGGGACAGCTTTAGCTAGGGTGACTTTGGCTGGAGGCTTCTTTGCCACCTCTTCATCGGAGCTTGAATCTGGAAAGACACGAGCATGAGGAATGATATTTGTCACGTTTGCCATCGGATAACAAAAATGTACAGATGATTTGATGTACCGATTATTACCTGAGCTCTCAGACTCCTGCTTCTTTGCAGCGGGTTTGGGCACCACCGCTTTGGCAGCCGGGGTTTTTGCCGGTGCAGGTTTTGCTGAAGATTACAATGCTGTCAGACATGCCATTAACAACACAGATACTTCAAGTTGGAAAAGGTGGGCCCCTCTTACCGGCTACTTTTTTCTCTTCTTCCTCGTCACTGCTGTCTGACGAGTCGCTGTCCTTGGCCTTCCTGGCTGCTGGTGCCTTCTGGACTGAAGCAGGAGGTGGGACTGCACTGTATGCTCCTATCAAGACAAAGGAAACATGGACCTCAGGGCCTCTGTACAGTATTTTAGGCACTTAGGATTAGCTTTTGACATTGTCTGGTCTTCATATAGGACAAACATGGTGGGCGGTCTTGGCCATGGATGTGAAGGAGGCAATGGGCACGGCGAGGAATGAGCAGTGTTGGGGAGGAGGGACTATGGTGTGTCAGCATCATAATTATGGACTCCAAAAAAGGTGCTGGCAAGTTTAAATGTTTCAACTTTTTTGAAAAGGAAACACTAAGACTACTTCCCATCAGGTGGAAAGATAACAGGACAGACTCCTACTCTATATCCTGTATAAAAAAAAAATCTTTAACTATGTTTCCATGTAGCGCTGTTTAACAGGAGCATGTCAGTAACATGTTAAAAACTAATGAAAGCTGTGCTCTCATTGCCAGTGCAATCGAACCTACTCCAATGTTCAAAAAGCAGACGGATGAATAGAAGGGCAACGTGTGTGTGCGTTAAACTACGCTGCAACAACAAAAATAAAGGATATGCTGCTGCAACAATCTAACAGTATACTTTATCAACAACTAATTTAACTCGTCCCTTTTGGCTCCTACACATTGTGTGTGGAAGCCATCGAGGATATAAGGGTATTAAAATATGTGAAAAAAAAAAAAAAAAGCATAAAAACATACCTGCTTTTGTTTTTTTGCTGGGCGGAGCCTCGTCTTCAGATGAAGAGTCTTCACTGCTCGATTTAGCAGCAGTCTTTACTGGGGCAGGTTTGGCTGGAGCCTGTCAGGGCAGGTGGAGTAAGTATAGTGTCATATATATATATATATATATATATATATACACACACATATATACATATATATACACACACACACACACACACACACACACACACACACACACAGGTATATACACACACAGGTATATACACACACACACACACAGGTATATACACACACACACAGGTATA